GCCCTCGCCATTTGAAAATGGAGAAGCCTGATACAGTGACGTATGTTACATGTGGCATGGGACAGAAAAGCCGCACGGTTTCAACTCGGCGCGTCATCGCGCACACGCACTGCGCCTGGAGCCTCGCACTGCCGCTGCGGCCTCCAAGGCCCTGGCTGCTGCTGCTGCTGCTGCTGCTGCTGCTGCTGCTGCTGCTGCTGCTGCTGCTGCGGTTCCTGCTGCTGCCATCGCTGCGGTTGCTGCTGCTGTAGTTGTTTTAGCTGCTTTGGCTGCTGTTGCCGCTGCCGTTGCTGCTGCCGCTCCCTCCATTTCGGCCGCTGCCTGTCCGTCCCAGGCGCAGCGCCGACGCCAGGCGGCGGCCGCGCCAGCAGCGCCGGCGGCAGCTGCCACCTCAGCAGCTGCGCAGCCTCGGACAGCATGTGCCACGACTCAGTCCCCATGCGGCCCTGCCGGTGGCGCTGCAGGGAAGCTGCCGAGAAGGCGGCCCGCCACTGGACCCCCGGGAGGTGCCTCAGCAGCGCGAACGCATAGGCTGTGGTGGCCAGCCCGTGGGCGTCGAGGGATGACAAGTTTGACGCCGACGAAGTCTCGTAAAGAACGAGCCATTGCTGCGGCACGGCACGCGGCGATTGGCCGCCGTGCTGCTGCTGCTGCTGCTGCTGCTGCTGCTGCTGCTGCTGCTGTTTCTGCTGCTGCTGCAACTGCTGCTGGTGGCCCACCTCGTGCCGCTGCTCACCTAAAAGGCGCAGCTGCACTGGCGGCGGCTCTGTCCGCTCCTGCATCTGCATCTGCTGCTGCTGCTGCTGCTGCTGTTGCTGCTGCTGCCGCGCCTGCACGCCCCCCGCCTGCGCGAGTGCCACGCCGTACAGCAGTGTCGCCTGCGCGCGCGGTGCCATCAAAGGCAGCCGCGCCGCAGCCGCGTTGAGCAGGCGGGCCGCCTGCTGCGGCGCCGGCGCGGCGCCGAGCTTGGCCAGAGCCCAGACCACGGTCGCAAGCTCCAGGTCAGAGGCGGCCGCGAGCTGCTTTGGGTGCAGGAAGTGCTCAAGGATGGCCGACAGCCAGGAGGCAGGCGGCGTGAATGCCCTGCGCGCCGGGGCCGAGCCAATGTATGGGGTGGATTTTGGGGGAGGGGGGGCTTGCACGCTCAGGTCGTGCCCGGCGGCGGGAGCCTGAGGCGCCCTGTTGTCAAGTGCAGACACCGAAATAGCGCTCGACGCGTCGGCACACGTGCGGCGGAGCGCGACAGCAACCGCAATCGCACGGCACTCCTGCGGCCTGCAACGCCGCGAGCCACATGCGCCCCAAGCATCCAATCAAGGGCGCCCGGCCTGAGCCCAGCCGCGCGCACCTCAGCCGCTGCAGCCCGACCAGCAGGCACGCCACGTCCCTCGGCGCCAGGTGCCGCCGCAGTCCGTGCACCGCGGCCAGCCACCGCCCCATCCACGCGCCGCCTGGCTGGCTGCCCGTCGACCCTATCCCATGCATCGCAAGCGCCAGCGCGCGCGCCAGCTCCCGCGGCCGCTCCCGCCGCCCGCAGCTGCCGCCGTCCATGCGCTCTCCGAGGGCCGACAAAAACCGCTCCGCCCAGTCGGCGCGCGTCCGCATGCCCGCGCGCCCCACCGCCCAAATCATGACTGCCAGCCCGTGCGCCGTGAAGCCGTCCATGCAGCCGTGCGCGCGCGCCATCATGGCCACGCACCACACGCGGTCCGGCGGGCGGCGGAGGGCGGCGGCGGCGGAGAGGACGTGGGGGAGCTCGCGGGGCGTGAGGGCGGGGCGCATCTGATCCAGGAGGTCCATCTGGTCGATATTTGATGGGTGGGGTTTTGGGGCGTCGCGGGAGCGGCGCGGCGTCAACGGACGGTTGAGGGAGGGCGAGTTGGGCTTGCGTGCGCGCGGCTCGGGGTCACGCGTCGCTCTGTGGCGGCGGCCAGGGCGCTGCGGGCGCTGGCGCCGGCCGAGGGGCCCCGCCGCGCCCGTCCGCAATCAGCGGGGTGAGGCCTGCCCACCTTCACCCCCGTCGCCCCCGTTACCCCCGCCACGCACCAACAGGCGCACGAACGCCTGAAACTCCGCGTGTTCCTCCTTGGCCGCCAGCCCGTCCAAGCGGGAACCGCCCGGCCGCGCCGCAGCTGCAGCAGCTGGCTGCGCCCCCGGCCCTCCTCGCACCCCCGGCGGCTCTGCACCGCCGCCACCCACTTCGGCTGCGGCGGCATCCCCGCGCTGCTGCTGCCCATCCTGAAAGAGCCGCGGCCGGCTTAACACCAGGTGCGGCCAGTCGCCGGCTCGCTGCTGCTGCTGCTGCTGTAGGTCCGCCAGGCGCGTCAGCATCGCGGCGGCGTGTATGTGGTTGACGCCGCTGCCCTGCGCGTCCAGCAGCGCCCGCACCTCCAGCCAGCTGGACGCCCCCTGGATCCGCTGGGTGAGCTCCTTCTGCCGCTGCAGGCGCGCTAGCTGCCGCGCGCCCGGCTGCTGCGCCGCCGGCTCTGGGGCCGCGGCCGGCGCCTCCTGCTGCTGCCCCTGCTCCCGGGCGCGCCGCCGCTGCCGGGCCCGCGGCTCGGTGGCTGGCGCCTCCCCGGATAGAACGTCACTCTCCTGCTGCTGCTGGTCTGACACCTGTGGCCGCTGCTGCCGCCGTTGCGGCGGGTGCGATCCGTTGCATGTACCCTGGGCTAGACCACTGCTGCTCTCTGCCGCCACACTCAGCCCTGGTGGGCTACCCACCTCACGCGCTGCCTCGAGGCCAGGGGGCCAGGCGGCTCCAATCGGCGCGGACCCAGTGGCACCCACCGCTGCAGCCTCCGCCGCCGCGTCGGGCCCGGCGGGGCCGCTCAAGCTGCTGTGGCCGGCGCGCTGCCGTGCGTCCGGCAGGCGCAGGGCGGCATGCTGCTGCAGCGAAGGGAGGCGGCCGGCGGGCGGCCCCGATAG